AAATATGCCTGGACTCCCTCTACATACTCCTCTACGACCATAGTACGATTGTCCGCGAGGATACTTACTATGGGGTCTGTCAATTTCTGGACTTTAAGTCCCAGCTTCAACTTTTGCAGCGCTTTCTTACTAATATAGTTGCGGGTGACCCCTGAGTCTACTAGGGCCCCTACTCTACTTCTAAAAATCTCTGTATCTTGCAATATAAGCTGCCCTTTATTCTCCTTCTTCATCTTGGCCCAGGCGGGCATCCTCTCCTTCAATTCTTCGGCCATGCCTGTGAGGGAGGTGTCTAGCGAAACTCTAACGCAAGCAGTTTCGGGATAGTTGTCTAGACACCGGCCTGCAACCTCTGCCATAGGCACATGTGGTGTGGGAGTCTCCTGCCGGCTAGCGCTATGTTCCCCACATGGCCTAGTGGTAGGGGCAGTTGCTACCCCTACCGGCGGTTGCCTTTTGGCCCTTGGGCAGCCGTTCGGGTCTCTCTATACTTGGGACAATATTTGATGATATGGCCCGGGTCACCGCAGAAAATGCACTGACCCCGGTCCAATCGTTTTTGCCATAAGTCTTGGTCCAGACCCAAAGATTCCCAAGGCCTACCCTGAGGTAGCCTTGGGTGCCATCCTCCTACTCTATAGGGAGACCTATTTCTAGGACGGTTTTGCGAGGGACCTTGACCCCTGCCTCCCACTTGGCGGTTTCCTCCTCTGCCGCGAACCCCCTGATCGCCCTGAAATCGGCTCCCTGAGGCCCGGCCCCCTTGGCCCTGGCCTCTTCCTCCTTGCGGCCTCCCTCCAGCCGCGACAGCAGTGTAAGTCCTCCCCTGGCCCACACCGCTGTCCGCCTCCTGTAGCCCCCACTCAATTTGATCGTAGGGAATCTCATCCACACTACCCTCATCTAAAGTCAGGACAAGGCTATCCTTGGTCTTTACCTGCCCTGAGATAGTGCGGCCTTTCCATTGCTTTCCCTTGTCCAAATCCTTATTATGCCAAAAGGTGGACAGGGACACTGACTTCGCTTCAAAAGCCACCACCTCACTACTAAGGGAATCGTAAGTGGTGGCAGGGTCTTCGCTCTTCGCGAAGAACTGCCCTCGAAAGGCTTCGGGCATAGCCCGGTAAAAGAGGTTGACCAATTGGCCCTCTGTGACCCCATGGTCAGGGACGGCCACCAACTCATCCATTGTACCCTTGAGTGCCCTGGCACTCTTCCATTTACGAGAATGGATGGTTTGGAGCTTGTTTGAGGCCTTGACACTGCGAGCGACATCAGCAAATTGCTCGCGCAGCAACTTCAGGAATTCGGTGAGGGACGTAAATGAGGAGTACGCAACTGGATCGTCACTACAGTTGGCAGCACGAACAAGGGATCTCGCGAAACTGGCGGCCTCGTCTCTAAGTGCATGGATCGCAATTAAGACCTGCTGATCCGGGGAGACCTGTTGCAAATGCACATAGGTCTTAACATTGGCCTCCCAATTGTCAAAGTTCTCTTCCCTTTTCCCACTGTAGGAATCATGGAATTTGACTTTGACTGGCTCCCTGCGAGGACGGGCCTCCTCCTCCTTGGGAGCGGCCACCTTGATGCCTTCGATGGCGCCAACACAAAAACACTCAGTCTTCTCGAGGCGATGACTCACCTCGGATCCCACAGCGCCTACTAGTTCGCGAGCAAAATCCCGTAAGCCTGTTCGCATCGAGCGTACAGATATCTCCTGGCTGCGATTAAACTCAAAGTGCCTTTCTTGCACTTTAGCTAACCGCTCAACGCTCTGGGCGATGATCTCCACTTTACGTTGGAGATCCACTTGCGGAATCAACTGTGTTGTTACGGCAACCCTCACCTCCTCCAGTTCCTGCATTGCCGCATTCGCCGCCTCCACTCTTCTTTTCTTCTCCCTCATCACTGCGAGCTTCCACGCCATCCTTTGTTCATCCTCCATCGCCCGCCGCGTCAGAACATCTTCTTCTGCTTCCCATTTCTTCATGGCGGCTTCTTGCTCATCCTTGGGGACGTACATAGCAACCTCTTCCTCCTCACCCAGGGATAAGTTGGCGACCCACTCCGAAATCTTCTTCTCCATCTCATCACTGCTGCGGCCGCTGTGCTGCCCACTCCTTTGCAGTGGTGGTCCCTCCTCCTCTTCATCCACCTCCTTCAGCTTCTCCTCTTCTTCCTTTATCAGCCTCTCCTTCTCCCTGGCCATTTCTTCCTCCATCTTCTTCAATTTGGCCGCCTGTTCTTCCTTCAAGGCCTTCTTCTTGGCCTCCTTCTTCTCCTTCCTCTCTTGCAGGATGGCGGCCATCTTCTCCTCCTCCTCCCTCGTGTATGGTTGGGTGGCGGTACCACCTCGAGTGGGCCCTWCTCTACATGCAAAGGTATGCCAAAATCCCAGAGGAAAGAGGAGACGCCAGAGGGTCCCCCAGAGGGAGAACCCAACCAGCAACCCATACATCGGGTAGTCATCCATCGTGGTGTTGGTGCACGACAAGGGTCCCACTCCTCACCACGTAGCCCTACCCGGACACACTAACCTACTGACTGACTTCCTAAGGACCACAGGATAAGACCCTGTCAACTATGGCCACTACTAACCCAAGACTACTCTAAGGTTGTCACTACAGAACCAAGAGCTGATCAGGAGGCATTTAAGGAGATCCCCCAAACTCCGCAAAAATTCTTTGACGTCGCAGACAGGACGACGTGATCAGCTTGGTTCGTCTGGCGATTTCAGCCCACAACTCAGCCGTTCCGGCCTACTGTGCCACACCGAGCAGCCTGCCGGTCTGTACCGGTCCTTGGAGGGGTTCGTATCCCTCGGGACAGTCGAGTCGTCAGACACAGATCATCAGCCTTACTAGGTCCGGTAGGGGAGTGGCTCAACCAGGCCTCAACACTTAAAGACAGCCTTCGTTTCAGCCTACAGCTCGGAGTTCAGACCCTCCACACTGGACTCAATAGACCTGCCGGACAGTACCGGTCATTGGGCTAGACGAGTTGTTTAACGAGCGCTCGCCGCTCATGCCCAGGTCTCCAAGTGTCAGAGTAGAGCTTAGGTCCTACTAAGCCCGTGCAGGTTTGGCAGCAAGGCCCTATCCTTCATCCACAGAGTCCTAGCACCTAAGACAGAAGAGACTCAATGCAGAAAGAGTAGACAGACAACTCAGCAAGTACCGTGGGGTAAATGCACATCCACAGGGTAAGGGGATAGGCTGAAGGGTCAACGAGATATCACCAATTCCAGCTTGGTCAAAATCTTGGGCAGCAGCTCCAGTCAACGCCGAGTCAACACGGTCAACCCCGGTCAGCACTTGGTCAACCCTCTGGTCAACTCCTCACCTCGGCTATGGCTGCCGGCACCTTCACCTTCGTCACCCTCGCCGTCTACTTCCCCGTCCTTCACTTTCTTTCTCTTCACTTCCGCTGTATTATTTTTTTATTTTTTTTTTGTGCTCGCCCCTGGCTATGTCTGTCTCCTTCTTCAACCTCCTTCCACACTTCTTCTTCTCTCTCCTTAGTCCCTCCTTCTCTGTCCTCCCTTTCTCTCTCCTCCGGCACTCTATGTCAATGCTCCGCGGCT